AGCGTTCAAAATAGCGCGCGTGCGAAGTAATGGTAAGTTTATATGAAGATTGACCAAGCCGATTTAGTCAATGATAGGGGTCGAAAGTTACCGAAAGTACCCCCTAAGGATTGCAAGCGTGTTCATTAATTTTATAGCGTTCACAAGAGTTGGCAAAGGCTTTTAAGTGTTCAGGATAACGCGCGTTCGAAGTAATGGCAAGTTTAAATGAAGATTAACGCAAGCCGAAGTAGTCAGTGAGTAGTCGAAAGTTACTGAAAATGCCCCCAAAGTATTGCGAGAGTGCTCATTAATTTTATAGTGTTTACAACTTGGCAAACGCTTTTAAGTGTTCACCATGGCGCGCGTTCGAAGTTATGGTAAGTTTAAATGAAGATTGACCAAGCCGATGTAGTCAATGATAATGATCGAAAGTTACCGAAAGTACCCCCGAAGTATTACGAGAGTGTTCATTAATTTTATAGTGCTTACAAGTTGGCAAACGCTTTCAAGTGTTCACCATAGCGCGCGTTCAGAGTAATGGCAAGTTTAAATGAAGATTGACCAAGCCGAAGTAGTCAATGATAATGGTCGAACTTACCGAAAGTACCCCCGAAGTATTGCGACAGTGTTCATTAATTTTATAGTGTTTACAAGCGTTGGCAAAGGCTTTTAAGTGTTCACGATGGCGCGCGTACGAAGTAATGGTAAGCGTGTAATAAGACTCACTCAAGCTGAAGTAGTCAATGATAGTGGTCGCGAGTTACAGAAAGTACCCCGGAAGCATTGCGCGTTTGTTCATTGATTTGTATAGTGTTCAACAGTTAACAAAGGCATTTAAGCGTTCAAAATAGCGCTCATTCGAAGTAATGGTAAGTTTATATGAAGATTGACCAAGCCGATTTAGTCAATGATAGGGGTCGAAAGTTACCCAAAGTACCCCCTAAGGATTGCAAGAGTGTTCATTAATTTTATAGGTTCACAAGAGTTGGCAAAGGCTTTTAAGTGTTCAGGATAACGCGCGTTCGAAGTAATGGCAAGTTTAAATGACGATTGACCAAGCCGAAGTAGTCAATGATAATGGTCGAAAGTTACCGAAAGTACCCCCGAAGTATTGCGACAGTGTTCATTAATTTTATAGTGTTTACAAGCGTTGGCAAAGGCTTTTAAGTGTTCACGATTGCGCGCGTACGAAGTAATGGTAAGCGTATGAAAAGATTGACACAAGCTTAATTAGTCAATGATAGTGGGCTTGAGTTAAGGGAAGTACCCCGGAAGCATTGCGAGAGTGTTCATTGATTTGTATAGTGTTCAACAGTTGACAAAGGCATTAAAGCGTTCAAAATAGCGCGCGTTCGAAGTAATGGTAAGTTTATATGAAGATTGGCCAAGCCTAAGTAGTCAATAATAGGGGTCGAAAGTACCCCCGAAGGATTGCAAGAGTGTTCATTAATTTTATAGTGTTCACAAGTTGGCAAAGGCTTTTAAGTGTTCACGATAGCGTGCGTTGGAAGTAATGGCAAGTTTAAATGAAGATTGCCGCAAAACGAAGTAGTCAATGAGTAGTCAATTAGACGAAAGTTACCGAAAGTACCCCCGAAGTATTGCGAGAGTGTTCATTACTTTTATAGTGTTTACAAGTTAGCAAACGCTTTTAGGTGTTCACCATAGCGCGCGTTCGAAGCAAAGGTACGTTTAAATAAAGAAGTAGTCAATGATAGTGGTCAAAAGTTACGGAAAGCACCCCCGAAGTATTGCGAGAGTGTTCATTAATTTTATAGTGTTTACAAGAGTTGGCAGAGGCTTTTAAGTGTTCACGATGGCGCGCGTACGAAGTAATGGGAAGCGTATATGAAGATTGATTGTCGTGAGTTACGGGAAGTATTCCCAAAGCATTGCGAAAGTGTTCATTGATTTGTATAGTGTTCAACACTTAACCTGAGATCAGGCGTTGATTATTTATTTATTTTTTTGCTCCTTTGCTTCTTTGGCTCGAGGGGGGGGGAAAATAACGCCTGATGACAAAGGCATTTAAGGTGACTCGAGCCAGTTTTTTTTTTCGGGGGGGTACCATCCTACTTTGAAGCTCTCTGGTATCCCCACCTTTACTTTTATCGTAAGTCTAACACATAGAAGGGATAACATATAGATCAATCTACAATATAACATAAAATTTTTGGCGATCGGCGTAAATGTCACGTGGTTATAATGCCACGCCCCTTTGAGGTCTGAGTCAAAAATCTGCTGTTGTCGGCATTTTTTCGTGAAAATCTCTCGGCTACAGATAGTGCGCATTAGTGCCTTGCGCTGAAGAGAGTTTCACCAAAATCGCAAAGACCCAATTCGAGAAATTCAGCGGTTTCCAAATTTAGGCTAGGCAAGTACCCCCCTAGGATTGCAAGAGTGTTCATTAATTGTATAGTGTTCACAAGTTGGCAAAGGCTTTTAAGTGTTTACCATAGCGCGCGTTCGAAGTAATGGCAAGTTTAAATGAAGACCAAGCCGATGTAGTCAATGATAATGGTCGAAAGTTACCGAAAGTACCCCCGAAGTATTGCGAGAGTGTTCATTAATTTTATAGTGTTTACAAGTTGGCAAACGCTTTTAAGTGTTCACCATAGCGCGCGTTCAGAGTAATGGCAAGTTTAAATGAAGATTGACCAAGCCGATGTAGTCAATGATAATGGTCGAAAGTTACCGAAAGTACCCCCGAAGTATTGCGAAAGTGTTCATTAATTTTATAGTGTTTACAAGTTGGCAAACGCTTTTAACTGTTCACCATGGCGCGCGTTCGAAGTAATGGTAAGTTTAAATGAAGATTGACCAAGCCGAAGTAGTCAATGATAATGGTCGAAGTTACCGAAAGTACCCCCGAGGTATTGCGACAGTGTTCATTAATTTTATAGTGTTTACAAGCGTTGGCAAAGGCTTTTAAGTGCTCAAGATGGCGTGCGTACGAAGTAATGGTAAGCGTATAAGAAGATTGACACAAGCTTAAGTAGTCAATGATAGTCGTCGTGAGTTACGGAAAGTACCCCGGAAGCATTGCGAGAGTGTTCATTGATTTGTATAGTGTTCAACAGTTGACAAAGGCATTTAAGCGTTCAAAATAGCGCGCATTCGAAGTAATGGTAAGTTTAAAGGAAGATTGACCAAGCCGAAGTAGACAAAGATAGTGGTCGAAAGTTACCGAAAGTACCCCCGAAGGATTGCGAGCGTTTTCATTAATTTTATGGTGTTTACAAGTTGGCAAAGGCTTTTAAGTGTTCAAGATAGCGCGCGTTTGAAGTAATGGTAAGTTTAATTGAAGATTGACCAAGCTGAAGTAGTCAATGATAGTGGTCGAAGTTACCGAAAGTACCCCCGAAGGATTATTTTATAGTGTTTACAAGAGTTGGCAAAGGCTTTTAAGTGTTCACGATGGCGCGCGCTCGAAGTAATGGTAAGTTTAAATGAAGATTGACCAAGCCGAAGTAGTCAATGATAATGTTCGAAAGTTACCCAAAGTACCACCGAAGTTTTGCAAGAGTGTTCATTAATTTTATAGTGTTTACGAGAGTTGGCAAAGGCTTTTAAGTGTTCACGATGGCGCGCGTTCGAAGTAATGGAAAGTTGAAATGAAGATTGACGCAAGCCGAGGTAGTCAATGAGTAGTCAATGAGTAGCCGAAAGTTACCGAAAGTACCCCCGAAGTATTGCGAGAGTGCTCATTAATTTTATAGTGTTTACAAGTTGGCAAACGCTTTTAAGTGTTCACCATAGCGCGCGTTCGAAGTAATGGTAAGTTTAAATGAAGATTGACCAAGCCGAAGTAGTCAATGATAATGGTGGAAAGTTACCAAAAGTACCCCCGAAGTATTGCGAGAGTGTTCATTAATTTTATAGTGTTTACAAGAGTTGGCCAAGGCTTTTAAGTGTTCACGATGGCGCGCGTACGAAGTAATGGTAAGTGTATATGAAGATTGACACAAGCTGAAGTAGTCAATGATAGTGGTCGTGAGTTACCGGAAGTACCCCCGAAGTATTGTGAGAGTGTTCATTGATTTGTATAGTGTTCAACAGTTGATAAAGGCATTTAAGCGTTCAAAATAGCGCGCGTTTGAAGTAATAGTAAGTTTAAATGAAGATTTGACCAAGCCGAAGTAGTCCATGATAATGGTCGAAAGTTACCGAAAGTACCCCCAAGGATTGCGATGGCGTTCATTATTTTGAACGCAATTTGGCAAAGGCATTTAGGCGTTCAAGATAGCACGTGTTCGAGGTAATGGTAAGTTTGTATGAAGCGGTTAACGCAAGCCGAAGTAATCGACGATAGTGGTTGAAAGTTTGGGAAAGGCATATAGGCGTTTACGATAGAGCCGGTTCGTTGTAATGGTAAGCATGTAGCCGAAGTAGTTAACAATGGTGGTCGAAAGTTACCGAAAGTACCCCGAAGGATTGCGAGAGTGTTCATTACACTAAACTCAATTTGACAAAGCCATTTAGGCGTTTATGATAGTGCGTGTTGGAAGTAATGGTTAGTCTATATGTAAGATTAACGCAAGCCGAAGTTATTGTGTAGTCAATAATAGTGGTCGATATATAGTTACCGAAAGTATCTCCAAAAGAACGTAATTTCGGAAAGGCATGTAGGCATTTACGATAGCGCCGGTTCGAGGTAATGCATGGTAAGTAAACATGTAGATTTAACGCAAGCCGAAGTTGTAAATAATAGTAGTAGGAAGTGACCAAAAGTACCCCGAAAGATGGCGAGAGTGTTCATTACAATGTACGAAATATGAGAAAGGCATTTAAGCGTTTATAATAGCGCGCGTTCGTAAACACAAAGATTAACGAAGGCCGAAGAAGCCGACAATAGCACTCGCAAGTTACCAAGCATTAAAGATATTTTGAAAAGACCTATCCTTAATACTTTCAGAACAAAAAAAGCATTGCTGCCCAGTAGCAGTCATTTTCGTAAGAAGGAAAGTCCTCCTTTGAAAATGACTGCTACTGAAGCAAATTTCTACAAAGTTTTATTCAGCTGTTGTATATATGAAAAAAAAATATTAGATTAAACTCCCTAAAGTATTTCATCTTGGTCGATCATCTTCACTTTAGTTGTGTTGTAAGAGGCAAGCACTTTTCCTCATGTTCAACTTGAGAAACATGTCCTAAAACAAGAAAAAAAGGTTCAATGTTTATCAGTAGACCGTAGATCAAGACAATGATAGAGAAATTTCAGTACTGGTTATTATTTGCTCTCGTTTTATTGCGTTGGTAAGTTTTTTAAATGATTTGCGCAGTCCAACCGCTATTTTTGCGACTACCCCTGCTCGAAACCTGTTGTGAAAAGGGCTATTCAAGTCTTATCAAGAGATCACGTACCTTTCATTATCGGTGTTTTTTTCATCAGCTTGTATGGGTTTCACAAGATGATGATTTTTCAAGCTTTGTACACTGAAAAAGTGCAATTTGAAAACGAACCTAAACTCAGTAAAGATAACGACCAACACAGTAAACATCTGTTAGCAAAATAAAGCATTTCAATGATTAAAAATACAGGTACTCGTGCCACACCCAACACTATTTTTTAGTTTAACCGTACTTATTGTAATAAGCACAGATAAGAAACTTTCACTGCTTTACTCCTGTTAGCGGCAGGAATAAATGAGTTGATTTCAGTCGTTCTCTGTTCTCTCACAAACAGACGACGCCAGTGCACAACTCGTACGATGCTGTGCTCTTATTCTAGAGTATATCAGTTCCACCCCCATAAATAATATCAGCCCTTAACAGTTATGGTGCTCAATATATGCCGCTCTTAAAAGAAAACAGGAAACTAATGCAAAGAAAAATATCCATAATACCTGAAGCGTAGAAAATGCCTCCCAACGTGATGAACAAATTAATTGGTGGGCAGGTTCAATCTAGAAAATAAAAAGCTCAAGAAAAAGAAACAAGCGCTTAGAAAATGTTACCAACAGACTTAAATTGAACTAATACAGCTTATTTCATGTGGAATTAATTCTCAAGCTTTTTTCCTTAGACGCTTTCCAAGCCGGTCTTATTGACCTCTTTCAGTTGCAAAGGGATCCTAGACTCAGTTCTAGGGATTTGTAAGTATATTTTTTTGCTTTGTTCAAGACCCGATAATAATTTATTTCTTCTTTCCTCTCCATCCTATTTATTATTTATGGCAAAATAAAGTTTTATGTCACTTGCTGATTTTGCGTTTGATTTGCAACGATAAGGGATATAGATAACAAATAAAGTTTAACGCCAAACTATCAGCAGATATTTTAAGTGGGCAGGAACATAAAAAAGTAATATAAAAAAAAAGGCAAGTCGACTCTCAATGAACCCTCAAACAGCTTTTTGCTTGTAATAACAACAGCGCAAATTTATAAAGTAATACTATAAATACAATAAAATCATTCCGACTTCTCCACTGAGATATTTTTAAAGCGTCCAACATAAGCCTCGTTATAACCTACAAAGATACAACAGTGGTGAGTCAAGTAAGGGCATTAGGGGTAAAGGCATTAGGGAGTTCTCTTCTCCCGTGGACACTTACTGGGTGTAAATCCCATTGGTCCTAGCTAACAGAAAGTAGTTTAGGGAGAACCTGTCTCCCACCGTTGCTGTGTTGGAATCCCAGTTGACCTTAGTGTATATTCCTTTGTATAAATATCAGAGCTCCATGTAACAGTTTTAAAGAAACTGTCTCCCATTGTTGTTGGGTTGCAATCCCAGTTAACCTAAGTGCATATTGCTTTATATAACAATCACAGTTTCTTATATCAAATAGTTCAAAAAGCACATGTCTCCCGTTGCTGCTGGCCTGGAATCCCACATTATCTAGTTTTAATAGCACGTTTCATCTATTATTGACTGAAGTATCAGTCCAGGGAGCTCCTGTCTCCCTTGCTTGCTGGGTTGGAATCCCAGTATATCTAGTTTAAATAGTACGTTTCATCTATTATTGACTGAAGTATCAGTCCAGGGAGCTCCTGTCTCCCTTGCTTGCTGGGTTCGAATCCCAGTTTATTTGGTTTTAATAGTAAGTTTCATCTATTATTGACTGAAGTATCAGTCCAGGGAGCACCTGTCTCCCTTGCTTGCTGGGTTGGAATCCCAGTTTATCTACTTTTAATAGTAAGTTTCATCTATTATTGACTGAAGTATCAGTCCAGGGAGCTCCTGTGTCCCTTGCTTGCTGGGTTGGAATCCCAGTTTATCTACTTTTAATAGTAAGTTTTATCTATTATTGACTGAAGTATCAGTCCAGGGAGCTCCTGTCTCCCTTGATTGCTGGTTTGGAATCCCAGTTTATCTAGTTTTAATAGTAAGTTTCATCTATTATTGACTGAAGTATCAGTCCAGGGAGCTCCTGTGTCCCTTGCTTGCTGGGTTGGAATCCCAGTTTATCTACTTTTAATAGTAAGTTTTATCTATTATTGACTGAAGTATCAGTCCAGGGAGCTCCTGTCTCCCTTGATTGCTGGGTGGAATCCCAGTTTATCTAGTTTTAATAGTAAGTTTCATCTATTATTGACTGAAGTATCAGACCAGGGAGCTCCTGTGTCCCTTGCTTGCTGGGTTGGATTCCCAGTTTATCTACTTTTAATAGTAAGTTTTATCTATTATTGACTGAAGTATCAGTCCAGGGAGCTCCTGTCTCCCTTGATTGCTGGGTTGGAATCCCAGTTTATCTAGTTTTAATAGTAAGTTTCATCTATTATTGACTGAAGTATCAGTCCAGGGAGCTCCTGTCTCCCTTGATTGCTGGGTTGGAATCCCAGTTTATCTAGTTTTAATAGTAAGTTTCATCTATTATTGACTGAAGTATCAGACCAGGGAGCTCCTGTGTCCCTTGCTTGCTGGGTTGGAATCCCAGTTTATCTAGTTTAAATAGTACGTTTCATCTATTATTGACTGAAGTATCAGTCCAGGGAGCTCCTGTCTCCCTTGCTTGCTGGGTTCGAATCCCAGTTTATCTGGTTTTAATAGTAAGTTTCATCTATTATTGACTGAAGTATCAGTCCAGGGAGCACCTGTCTCCCTTGCTTGCTGGGTTGGAATCCCAGTTTATCTAGTTTTAATAGTAAGTTTCATCTATTATTGACTGAAGTATCAGTCCAGGGAGCTCCTGTGTCCCTTGCTTGCTCGGTTGGAATCCCAGTTTATCTACTTTTAATAGTAAGTTTTATCTATTATTGACTGAAGTATCAGTCCAGGGAGCTCCTGTCTCCCTTGATTGCTGGTTTGGAATCCCAGTTTATCTAGTTTTAATAGTAAGTTTCATCTATTATTGACTGAAGTATCAGTCCAGGGAGCTCCTGTGTCCCTTGCTTGCTGGGTTGGAATCCCAGTTTATCTACTTTTAATAGTAAGTTTTATCTATTATTGACTGAAGTATCAGTCCAGGGAGCTCCTGTCTCCCTTGATTGCTGGGTTGGAATCCCAGTTTATCTAGTTTTAATAGTAAGTTTCATCTATTATTGACTGAAGTATCAGACCAGGGAGCTCCTGTGTCCCTTGCTTGCTGGGTTGGAATCCCAGTTTATCTACTTTTAATAGTAAGTTTTATCTATTATTGACTGAAGTATCAGTCCAGGGAGCTCCTGTCTCCCTTGATTGCTGGGTTGGAATCCCAGTTTATCTAGTTTTAATAGTAAGTTTCATCTATTATTGACTGAAGTATCAGTCCAGGGAGCTCCTGTCTCCCTTGCTTGCTGGGTTGGAATCCCAGTTTATCTAGTTTTAATAGTAAGTTTCATCTATTATTGACTGAAGTATCAGTCCAGGGAGCTCCTGTCTCCCTTGATTGCTGGGTTGGAATCCCAGTTTATCTAGTTTTAATAGTAAGTTTCATCTATTATTGACTGAAGTATCAGTCCAGGGAGCTCCTGTCTCCCTTGATTGCTGGGTTGGAATCCCAGTTTATCTAATTTTAATAGTAAGTTTCATCTATTATTGACTGACGTATCAGTCCAGGGAGCTCCTGTCTCCCTTGCTTGCTGGGTTGGAATCCCAGTTTATCTAGTTTTAATAGTAAGTTTCATCTATTATTGACTGACGTATCAGTCCAGGGAGCTCCTGTCTCCCTTGCTTGCTGGGTTGGAATCCCAGTTTATCTAGTTTTAATAGTAAGTTTCATCTATTATTGACTGAAGTATCAGTCCAGGGAGCTCCTGTCTCCCTTGCTTGCTGCGTTGGAATCCTAGTTGCCCTAAGGGCATATTACTTTGAAAATCAGGGATAATCTACTTAGAGCAACAACTCTTCCCAAGAAAATCTGAAATTATATCTAAAATAACTGAGATTTTTGAATTATTTGAAAAAAAAAACAAAACAAAACAAAATTTAAAGGTGTGAGAAAACCTGGTTCGTGACAGAAGCTGAGATATGGCATGACCTATAGAAAAGGGTGTATGGCCTGTGCAGTATCCGAGACGCACGTGAGTGCAACGGCCATATAAATTGGGGGACCTCCGCTTGCGTCCAGACCGGGACACCTGGGCATGAGCGCTTACAACAGACTTGTTTCGTGACAGAAGCTGAGATATGGCATGACCCGATGAGCGGTACACCGCTTCGGCCCGTGCAGTATCACTCGTAAAGCTCTGCACCACTGCAGAATGAGTTGATAAGCACTTGAGTGCAACGGCCGTTTTCTTATCAGGCGCCCAATACATCACCTGTCGGTCAGAGGCGACCACCCAGACCTCGGTGTAACTGATGGCTCAGTACCACTCTCACCGCGTAAGTAGACAAGCACCCTGTGGAACGCACGAAACCCTCCACCTGGCTTGAGGCCACTGTATTGGCAACAATACGCCAACTTTCTTTTTGGACTCCCCTTTTACTACTTAAAGCTGCTATTTTAAATTTATTGAAAGAATTGCTGCTGCTCAAACAGTATCATACTATTAATAATTAATAAAGATGTAATGCACTTCATGTAGTAGTTCAAGAATTAGGGTATTAAAGGTTCAACTACATGCATAATAGCTAGACTGTAGTATCACTCCACGTGTTACTTATCTGGCTTGCTCCGTTCAAATCCCGGTAAATGCTTTCTTTTAGAAGTAAGCTTTATCTATCATTGACTGAAGTATCGGTCCAGGGAGCTCCTGTCTCCCTTGCTTGCTGGGTTCGAATCCCAGTTTACCTGGTTTTAATAGTAAGTTTCATCTATTATTGACTGAAGTATCAGTCCAGGGAGCTCCTGTCTCCCTTGCTTGCTGGGTTGGAATCCCAGTTTATCTAGTTTTAATAGTACGTTTCATCTATTATTGACTGAAGTATCAGTCCAGGGAGCTCCTGTGTCCCTTGCTTGCTGGGTTGGAATCCCAGTTTATCTACTTTTAATAGTAAGTTTTATCTATTATTGACTGAAGTATCAGTCCAGGGAGCTCCTGTCTCCCTTGATTGCTGGGTTGGAATCCCAGTTTATCTAGTTTTAATAGTAAGTTTCATCTATTATTGACTGAAGTATCAGTCCAGGGAGCTCCTGTCTCCCTTGATTGCTGGGTTGGAATCCCAGTTTATCTAGTTTTAATAGTAAGTTTCATCTATTATTGACTGAAGTATCAGTCCAGGGAGCTCCTGTGTCCCTTGCTTGCTGGGTTGGAATCCCAGTTTATCTACTTTTAATAGTAAGTTTTATCTATTATTGACTGAAGTATCAGTCCAGGGAGCTCCTGTCTCCCTTGATTGCTGGTTTGGAATCCCAGTTTATCTAGTTTTAATAGTAAGTTTCATCTATTATTGACTGAAGTATCAGTCCAGGGAGCTCCTGTGTCCCTTGCTTGCTGGGTTGGAATCCCAGTTTATCTAGTTTTAATAGTAAGTTTTATCTATTATTGACTGAAGTATCAGTCCAGGGAGCTCCTGTCTCCCTTGATTGCTGGGTTGGAATCCCAGTTTATCTAGTTTTAATAGTAAGTTTCATCTATTATTGACTGAAGTATCAGTCCAGGGAGCTCCTGTGTCCCTTGCTTGCTGGGTTGGAATCCCAGTTTATCTAGTTTTAATAGTAAGTTTTATCTATTATTGACTGAAGTATCAGTCCAGGGAGCTCCTGTCTCCCTTGCTTGCTGGGTTGGAATCCCAGTTTATCTAGTTTTAATAGTAAGTTTCATCTATTATTGACTGAAGTATCAGTCCAGGGAGCTCCTGTCTCCCTTGCATGCTGGGTTGGAATCCCAGTTTATCTAGTTTTAATAGTAAGTTTTATCTATTATCGACTGAAGTATCAGTCCAGGGAGCTCCTGTCTCCCTTGCTTGCTGGGTTGGAATCCCAGTTTATCTAGTTTTAATAGTAAGTTTCATCTATTATTCACTGAAGTATCAGTCCGGGAGCTCCTGTCTCCCTTGCTTGCTGGGTTGGAATCCCAGTTCATCTAGTTTTAATAGTAAGTTTTATCTATTATTGACTAAAGTATCAGTTCAGGGAGCTCCTGTCTCCCTTACTTGCTGGGTTGGAATCCCAGTTTATCTAGTTTTAATAGTAAGTTTTATCTATTATTGACTGAAGTATCAGTCCAGGGAGCTCCTGTCTCCCTTGCTTGCTGGGTTGGAATCCCAGTTTATCTAGTTTTAATAGTAAGTTTCATCTATTATTGACTGAAGTATCAGTCCAGGGAGCTCCTGTCTCCCTTGCTTGCTGGGTTGGAATCCCAGTTTATCTAGTTTTAATAGTAAGTTTCATCTATTATTGACTGAAGTATCAGTCAGGGAGCACCTGTCTCCCTTGCTTGCTGGGTTGGAATCCCAGTTTATCTAGTTTTAATAGTAAGTTTCATCTGTTATTGACTGAAGTATCAGTCCAGGGAGCTCCTGTCTCCCTTGCTTGCTGGGTTCGAATCCCAGTTTATCTAGTTTTAATAGTAAGTTTCATCTATTATTGACTAAAGTATCAGTCCAGGGAGCTTCTGTCTCCCTTGCTTGCTGGGTTCGAATCCCAGTTTATCTGCTTTTACTAGTAAGTTTCAGCTATTATTGACTGAAGTATCAGTCCAGGGAGCTCGTGTATCCCTTGCTTGCTGGGTTGGAATCCCAGTTTATCTACTTTTAATAGTCAGTTTCATCTATTCTTGACTGAAGTATCAGTCCAGGGAGCACCTGTCTCCCTTGCTTGCTGGGTTGGAATCCCAGTTTATCTAGTTTTAATAGTAAGTTTCATCTGTTATTGACTGAAGTATCAGTCCAGGGGCTCCTGTCTCCCTTGCTTGCTGGGTTCGAATCCCAGTTTATCTAGTTTTAATTGTAAGTTTCATCTATTATTGACTGAAGTATCAGTCCAGGGAGCTTCTGTCTCCCTTGCTTGCTGAGTTGGAATCCCAGTTTATCTAGTTTTAATAGTAAGTTTCATCTATTATTGACTGAAGTATCAGTCCAGGGAGCTCCTGTCTCCCTTGCTTGCTGGGTTCGAATCCCAGTTTATCTGGTTTTAATAGTAAGTTTTATCTATTATTGACTGAAGTATCAGTCCAGGGAGCTCCTGTCTCCCTTGCTTGCTGGGTTGGAATCCCAGTTTACCTAGTTTTAATAGTAAGTTTCAGCTATTATTGACTGAAGTATCAGTCCAGGGAGCTCCTGTCTCCCTTGCTTGCTGGGTTGGAATCCCAGTTTATCTACTTTTAATAGTCAGTTTCGTCTATTCTTGACTGAAGTATCAGTCTAGGGAGCACCTGTCTCCCTTGCTTGCTGGGTTGGAATCCCAGTTTATCTAGTTTTAATAGTAAGTTTCATCTGTTATTGACTGAAGTATCCTGTCTCCCTTGCCTTCTGGGTTCGAATCCCAGTTTATCTAGTTTTAATAGTAAGTTTCATCTATTATTGACTGAAGTATCAGTCCAGGGAGCTCCTGTCTCCCTTGCTTGCTGGGTTGGAATCCCAGTTTATCTAGTTTTAATAGTACGTTTTATCTACTATTGACTGTCAAAGTATCAGTCCAGGGAACTCCTGTCTCCCTTGCTTGCTGGGTTGGAATCCCAGTTTATCTAGTTTTAATAGTAAGTTTCATCTGTTATTGACTGAAGTATCCTGTCTCCCTTGCCTTCTGGGTTCGAATCCCAGTTTATCTAGTTTTAATAGTAAGTTTCATCTATTATTGACTGAAGTATCAGTCCAGGGAGCTCCTGTCTCCCTTGCTTGCTGGGTTGGAATCCCAGTTTATCTAGTTTTAATAGTACGTTTTATCTACTATTGACTGTCAAAGTATCAGTCCAGGGAACTCCTGTCTCCCTTGCTTGCTGGGTTGGAATCCCAGTTTATCTAGTTTTAATAGTAAGTTTTACCTATTATTGACTGAAGTATCAGTTCAGGAAGCTCCTGTCTCCCTTGCTTGCCGGGCTGGAATCCCAGTTTATCTAGTTTTAATAGTAAGTTTCATCTATTATTGACTGAAGTATCAGTCCAGGGATCTCCTGTCTCCCTTCCTTGCTTGGTTAGAATCCCAGTTTATCTAGTTTTAATAGTAAGTTTCATCTATTATTGACTGAAGTATAAGTCTTGGGAGCTCCTGTCTCCCTTGCTTGCTGGGTTGGAATCCCAGTTTATCTAGTATAAAATAGTTATGTTCCATCTATCGTACACTGAGGTAAGAGTCCAGGGAGCACCTGTCTCCCTTGCTTGCTGGGCTGTAATCCCAGTTTACTTACTTTTAATAGTAAGTTTCATCTATTCTTTACTGAAGTATCAGTCCAGGAAGCTCCTGTCTCCCTTGCTTGCTGGGTTGGAATCCCAGTTTATCTAGTATAAAATAGTTATGTTCCATCTATCGTACACTGAGGTAAGAGTCCAGGGAGCTCCTGTCTCCCTTGCTTGCTGGGCTGTAATCCCAGTTTACTTACTTTTAATAGTAAGTTTCATCTATTCTTTACTGAAGTATCAGTCCAGGAAGCTCCTGTCTCCCTTGCTTGCTGGGTTGGAATCCCAGTTTATCTAGTTTTAATAGTATATTTCCTTTATTATTGACTGAAGTATCAGTGCAGGGAGCTTCTGTCTCCCTTACCTGCTGGGTTGGAATCTGTAGTTTATCTAGGTTTAATTCTACGTTTCATCCATCATTGACTGAAGGATTAGTCCAGGGAGCTCCTGTCTCTCTTGCTTGGTGGGTTGGAATCCCAGTTTATCTAGTTTTTATAGTATATTTCATCTATCATAGACTGAATTAGCAGTCCAGGGAGCTCCTGTCTCCCTTGGTTACTGGGTTGGAGTCCCAAGTTACTTAGTTTGAATAGTTCATTTTATCTATCATAAACTGAAGTATCATTTCAGGGAGTTCCTGTCTTCCTTGCTTGCTGGGTTTGAATCTCATTTGGCCAATTGTATATCAGAATTCTTACCTATTAGTTCAGGGAGAACCGGTGTTACTTGTTGCTGGGTTGGAATCCCAGATGACCTGCTTTTATACGTAGTGGTTTATTTTTATTTTTAAAGTTTCTATGTAATCTCTCGGTCTCCCAATTGTTTGCTTGTTTGGAATCCCAGTTTACCTAAGTTTATAATTCCTTATATAAATATTAGACTTTCCACCTAATTTTTCAGGGAGCACCAGTCTCCCATTTCTTTGGTAGGCTGGAATCCCAGTTGACCTATGTATATATTTCTTAATAATAATCAAAACATGAAACCGGTATGTATCCCAGTTGTTGATCTCAAAGTTTTAAAACTGATATCCCTTTGCATGTTTGAGTGGTGTATCTTCTTCACCGTGTTATGCTAGATTGCATAAATAATGTATATACACGTAAAAAGAATACGTAATTTTAATATTGTATTTTACCTTTTTTAATTTTTGTTTGTCCAATCCTTTAAGTTGTGCCTCTGATCTCTTGGCATATCTCTGAGTGATAAAGAAATGAACTTAATTTAGTTACGGTCTCACACTAACAATCTAATAGTCATCTCAAGCACTCACCCACAGGTTGTATTTCAAACTTAAAGAGTTAAAATTAACGGTTGGAGGGGAGGTGTGATTTAAGGTTAATAAGGTTGTCAATTTACTGAAGGTATAAAATGGTATTAGCATGTTACCATGCCGTTCTAAAGATCCAAAGTATGGGAGCACTGGGACTAATGCACATTTTTGGCATCTACCAGGGATAGGACCCTATCCCAACCAGCTCTTTTTCTCCTCGAGCTTCGCTGGCCTGCCGCCTACTTTCTCTTTTTCTCCATCTTTCTCTTGCTCTATATTCCAAATTTGTGGACATGACAATTAATCTAAGCTTAATACTTTAGACGACACGGATACAGAAACAATTTCCGCTTTTCGTTTTCATTTCCGCTTTTCATTTTCATCGTTATTGACTCTTTAGCTGTCCCTGCTTGACAAGACGCGGGTGGCTATGTGATTTCTCGCCAAAATAACTTACGGTGAATGTATGGGATTTTGGCCTGCTTAGAACCGCTATAACACCGCTACAAAGATGTAGATTTCCACAGTGAAAATATATTTTAGAAGACATTTGTACTGAGATTAATTTACAAAGCATAAAGAAGAGATTCAGGTTATAATGACCGTAAACAAATTTTAAGATTTCATACAAACCCTTTTATGCAAATTACCATGAAATTAGAGGTAGTTTCGAAAACGAAGCACTCGACAACGAGGACCGAAGTACGAAGCACCCAAATCTCGAAAACGAAGAACCCAAAACTCGAAAATGGAGCACGAAAGACTCAAAACCACTGTACGTTGAAGGACAACAACTTTAAGTCTTGCATGACGCAAGCCAAACCAGGTGGAGGCAATGGATGCGTCCACACCTCCAAAGGTCCACCGATCCATCCCACGGAGCATTTCATTTCTCACCTGCAGAGGTAGGGCGGTATTGATATTTATTGGTTGAGCCCTTCTTTCCTGCCACCCTTTTGTCTGTGTTCGTCAAGCCGGCATAATTCCAACTTTCTCTGCCCCTACAATTGAATGTTTGTTTGTTTGCGTAAAAGGTTTAAAATGGCCAAGGATAGTAGTTCTCTCGTCCGTCCACGAAAGCGCGAAGGTCTGAACATTCGACCACGTTTATTTCTAATTGATCATGTTTCAAATGGATCACGTTCACCACTGACAAGCGCTTACTGTTACTGCTGTCCTTCGTTATATTGTTTAGCTTGAGTTTTCAAAAATCTGCCTGCCCCACACAAGCACTACGGCGTTTTTGATGTTTTTGCCGATTTTCAAAGTTTTTTCCAACCTGAAAACTTGGGGTTCGCACTAAGCAATGTCCACCGATGACAGATTTCTACCTCAAGGTAGTGCGACCCATACCTTAGACAGGGTAGCCTACGTGTAGCCACACCCTCCCCGACAGAAGAAAAACGATATAAACTATTTGACATATTTTTCAGTTTTCCTGTTAAACTGTAAAATTCGTCATGCATCTACTACCTGGAAGGAACTAATTCAAAAATCACTATGTTTGCCCATTTTCAGGAATATCACAGAAATCACGAAAAAAAGAAGAGTTTATTTGGGGGACGCTGTCACAAAATTACAGACGTTTGTATGGATATTTAACCATCTTTCAAGAGTCACAACTTGATCCCTGTTCATCCTTAGAGCACCAAACTTGGTCAAATAACCAATCTCAACATGACCTTTTATATGGTGGTGTCAGTTTATCGATAGTTTAAATCTGATACTCGCCCCAGTGCCCTACGCAACTCCGAAATGGCCAATAGTTAGGGTGACGGAAATGCATTTGCAACACCGCGTGGTTCTACTTGAATAGTTTTGAACTGCATTCTATTTGTTATCGTGCTTGATTCCTGCTGCTGGTGACTTGACAAGGGACTGTCTCGTGTTTTGACAGCACGGACAGGTTTCGAGTTTTGGGTGCTCCATTTTCGAGTTTTGGGTGCTTGACCTTCGTTTCGAGTTCTTCATTTTGAAAAGTACCGAAATTAGAAGCCACATGAGAAGAATTTAAAGACGCCGTACCTTCTTAGCCTTATTTTCTGTTGAATGAATGATACCAATAAAACTATTTAAAGTAGTGGCAAATGTTGGAAACCCGCATGACTTTGTAGCCGCGTTATAGCGGTTCCAAGTGGGCCAAAAGCCCATACATTCACTGTAATATTAGCCGTGTTTGCCCGCCAGCCAAGATGGCGTCAGAAACCGTGAAAAGGTCTATTCTGGGGAGCCCTGACCTGCCACACTTCCTAAAATGTTACTCTCCCTGGTCCCTTGTATCATCAACCATTGGCTTAAGTCACGAAATGAAATGCGAGATCATGCTAAGTATATTAAAAGACTTAAAGAACTTTACAAAATGAACTATCAAGTCACAAAAAATAATAAAATAAAATAACAAACTCGTAGTCGAAAGACTGACTTGATTTGGCTTTTTCTACCCTGGGTATTAGCCAGACGTTTTGGTTCATGTTTCATTTGTTTACGTAATGGCACAAGGTAGGGTTTCTCTCTCTCTCAGAGTCTGCTTCACTGCTGTTTGTTCTGAGGTGGCGGATTACATTCCTAAGAACAAGTTAATTTTTTTAGCATCTGTTTATCATCCGCCAAACATGTTTGTACATTCCAGGTGACTCCTTTAGATGAACCCTAGTATCTTTCACACCCGTTTCTTCACAGGGTCCAGAGGAGTTTCGTGTGAACAAATGAATTACTTATTTAAAGTCTCACCTTGAAAAATGTCTATACCTATCGCTTAGCACAATTAATTAGCCCAATGGGATCTTTATAAATCTACTGTAATCGATTTCTTCGCTTCTTATCTGACCCAGATCGACTTTTGAAAATCAATAACCGCAAGCCATATCCTCGCTGGCACACGGCACCTCGCCCGAAGGATGACCGAAGGCCGTCGGTCTTTAGAATGATCATAAATAACCCATTTTTTCAGGGGTTTTCCACGGGTTTTGCTGTTCTAATAACAAATACATCTCCTCTGGACCCTGTGCTTTCCTGTGTCATCACGCAAGGCTAAACTCCCTTGCGTTACGACACGGGAAACGGAGACTAGTAGGTGTAATCATTGTTACAAATGTTATTTAAAAAATCTATAATGCAATGGATTCAGAAGAAAACAAGTTAAGACGAGCCGAAAGTAATAAAAATGGGTTGAAAAATTTTAATAATGAATGATTGTATTAAAAGTAATTTACCTGGATTTTTATATACCTTTATTATGTTTTGGAACCTATTTTTCACCCCAGCCCTCTTCTTGGGAGTGATGGGATATGCGCGCTTCTTATTTCTTAGTTTTGTGTTAAGCCAATGGTTGATGATACAAGGGACCAGCGAGAGTAAGATTTTAGCGGGAAGTGGATGTTTTGTCCGATTCTTGTATTTCATGTACGTGACATGTTGTCGTCTCGTCTTATTTCAGACATTTATACCCTGTTTTAGATGGTTTCAGATTGTTTGCAAGTGGTTGTAGATGTTTTTGAGGTGGTTGTAGATGGTTGTAGGTGGTTGTTGAATTTTTTTAGGTGGTTGTAGGTGGTTGGAGATGGTTTTAGGTGGTTTTAGGTGGTTTTAGGTCGTTCCATGTTTTAGTAACAATTTTTGTCAACAGTTACTGTTGAGCTTACCTTTATGTCGGCCCTGCAGACCTTCTAATTCTTTTGACTTATTTGGTATTTTGGTTTTTACATTGCAGAGTCCTTTCTCGAGATTGTTGTAGGTACTTTATAGGCCTAAATAAGTTTACATTGCTACACTGACTCTGTGATTGATGGAAGATTCATCCACCCTGCGCCGCCATATTGGCCGGGACACCAGTGAACCCTGGGACGAGGATTCCTTTGTAAGATATACCACAGGACACCCACACAATCTGTTTTTTTGGTGAATGACTTGGATTCATAGTTTACTGCCACTGCATCTTTCTGTAGCAATATATCGCTAACTATATATATATATATCAGTGTTAAATAAACGTTGTATTACCTTACCTACGGTATATTGTTGTCCTTTTGCCTCAAACGTGGTATTTCAGCGATATTGAATGATTTTGAGTTCGCCTGGATGCTACTGGGCAAAAAGAAAAGAACAAAAGATCGAGTTACCAAATGAGCCATTTGCCATTTTGTAGTAACTTTAACAGCCAAGATCCTGAGTAGACGTAATTCATTGAAGCACCAAAGAAAGATGGGGGTCGGGGTTGTTAAAAGCACTTACGTTTTCAAAATCTCTTAGTTAAGTTGGGTCCGCACTTTTTCACTGCTTTTTAAACAATTAACGGACTTTACTTCTGTTAGATTGTGACCTAAAAGAGTGAACATGACAAAAAATTAGTTAAAGCATAACATGGGAAGAAGTCGGATATGATTTTTTGAAAAACTCTTTATCGGGCAGTCAAAATTTTATCCTGTTAGGTTTTTGACATCAGTGATTACCTAATTAACACAGGCAGTGTTTCCTGGCTCTAGCTAGTATAAAATCCCTAACCCGGCATTAATATTACATTATCTAACTCAAAGCCGGGTCAATCAGACTCCCGTTTTTGTCTTACGTGTTGGACTGAGCTAGTAAGACATATAGTTGGGAATTCATTGAAGTAAGTTGTAAGAATTGTATTAAAGGCACGGGCGGATCTAGGGGGAGGGTGCAGGGGGTGCGCACCCCCCCCCCCCCGAGAAATGACCTGCTGTTTTCTAATACAACTGGTATTCTGCAAAAACAAAAAATTATGTGGTTTATTGATGTTGAAGTGGAGCAAGAGACGAGTGCACCCCCTCCTAAAAAAAATCCTGGATCCGGCCCTGAAAGGAAAGAGAAAGATGAGGGTAAGCTAAGGAGAGTGGAGGTGTTGTTACAGGCACTTACGTTTTAAATGTATTTCGTTTTGGGTCGCACTTTTTGATCAACTTATGACTGCACTTCTCTTAGATTGAGTTACCTAAATAGAATATACAAAACAAAAATATGTACTGAGAAAATCAACGTACCCACTAAAAAAGCAAGCTGAATATCTCTCTTGTGATTCCCGTGTAGCCCTATTATTTAAACCAGCTCGGCTGTTTTTTGCATTAGGTACTACCCTAAAGCGACTGGAAGAAAATCCGCTGGGGGTGTTCCGCCCGGTTCTTCAAATCCTGACCCTATTTCAGACCAAAAAATGCCACTTTCCACGCCTGCTTTCAGACCTGGCTTCTAAAATCCATACCCGTTTTCAGACCTGGCCTTTAAGCAGACTGTTATGTCATCATTACTTAGATTAGGACACAAACAAAAAGATTCTTA